CTGAGCTGTCTGCCCCGGTGTTTAGAACGTGTCCAGGGGTAGGAGGAACACTCGCTTCACTGGACACTCTCAGAAAACCTGAAATTTTTTAAACCATGTAAATGTATCACTTTAGAAAATATTTTTAAAAATATGACCACATTTCTCTTTTCCTTCTGGCAGTAATTCATCATTTACTTCTGTTAGATAATTAAAAGCCAGGGACCGCTTCTCTGGGGCTATTTGGAGGTCTGGAGGTCTGGAAGGACCTCCACCGTCTCAGGCAATGTTGGAGCCAAAAGGAGGACAAGGGTCACCAAATCTCATTTCGCAGTTGACAAAAGTACAACCCAGAGACTCCAGTGACTTGGCCCGGGTTACAGAGCTCTTTAATCTTATTTTATTTTACTTGTAAAATCCTGGTGATGGCTGTAGGGGAGGGGCAGTCTCCTGGGCTTCTGCCAAGGAGAAGGAAGGTGTACCTTCTGCCCCACACCTGGCCCAGCTACGGCTGAGACTGGCGGCTTTGTTTCCCTTCCCTCCTTCTTCAGTTGGTCTTTCGTCTTCCAGAGAATCCGTGAGTTGAAGTAAGCAGGGACAGTAGTGTGGGCTGGAGCCTCAGCTCACACTACACTTCCCTTCTCTCCTCAGATAGCCCTTATTGGCCGCTGGGGTATAGACTGGGACAAAAGGGAAAATGACCCATTTTTAGATAGTGCAGGCCACACATTTGGAGGCTTCCTTCGCTGGCCTCTGCCTCTGCAGTGCACCATCAACAAAGTTTCACTCCTGGCATTGAGGATCCGCTTTGACAGCAAGAACATTTCCTAGCGTGCTTGGCACCGCAAAGGGTTGATTACGAATGGGAGAGGGGTCCGCCACCTGCAGAACCCGTTGCCTGCGGAAACAGGCTACTTCCTGGCAGGAAGAGCAGCTTCTTTTGGGGAAGGGAGCTAAGGAAGGGGGAGAGTAAGGGCAGTCTGTGATTCGCATAAAGTGCTGGTGATTCTCTTGATTTTTTGCTATGAATACAAGGCAGATCCCGGGGTGGCAGGAGGAAGATAGTGAGCTTAACTGTTTGCAGTGCAGCAAATGTTTTCAGGGACTTTTTGGTGGACAAAATGTCCAGCCCATCCCGAGACACGCTCCACGCTCCCCCGACCTGGTCGATGGATGCACAGTTCAAAGTCCTGAAGCTGAACTTTCTCACCGAGCCAGAGATAAGTCAGCCATTTTCACTGGCTGGCAATGATTAACCCACCTCTCCCTCCACCTGGTGTCCCCAACATGTTTTTCTAAGACATGAACTGGGCCACTCACTGAGAAGGTGACAGCAGTTAATCCGGCCAGTTTGCCCTGTTCCCCACTAAACACCTCCCCCACTGGTCACTTGGAAAGGGGGGGGGAACCACACAAAAGAAGTAATTTTAAAAAATAAAACTGTCATCTTATAGTTTGGGCTGTAAGACTTCAGAGGAAGCTACCCTGCTGCTCAGATGTAGCTGTGGATTGAAGCTAGGTTTTGCACCCCTGTTGAAGTGTGGACAAGACCCAGTCTAGATATAACAACCGAGTGAAGGACGGACCAGTAGCTCCTCTCCCTACAGAGCCCAGGGGCCCAGCCAGAATAGAGGATTCGGCTTCAGGTAAAATCCGACTTTCTTTTTAGTAATAAATGCAATTTTTGATGAGGTGTGGGGTAAATTGTGGCTCCTTTCCCTCCTTGCTTTCCCATCTGCAAATAAACTCACTTGAGTGAATGAGTCAACCTTGCCCTGGGAGAAGGTGCCAGAACACTAGAACCAGCTGCACTTATTTAATAGCAGACCAGACTGTACTTTCTGGCACCTTGTCTTCATGTTCTTCCCAAACCACGATCCTGAAGCCTGGGTAACATAGTGAGACCCTGTCTCAAAAAAACAAACCAATCTACAAACAAAATTATTACTTTCTGACCCTAAGAGATATTTAGCCCCTACTGGGAAGAGGACCGATCTCAGGAGAAAGTGCCTGAGGAGCGCCCTGCTCTTGCACCCAACCAAGAGGAGCCCAAGGAATGTTCCACCCTTACTGGTTCCCGGAATCAGCTGGCCATTTCCCTGGAGGACATGAATAAAACCTGAGTCTTCTCCGCTGAGGACCAAATAATAGGGAACTCACTGATATTTGTACAAATGAGATGCGGTTTCCCTCTGAACATCCCCTAGTTTACATCGTTGTGTAAATGTCTGGCCTCCCTTGTCCCACTAGACTGGCAGGGGCCCGGAGGACAGCCAGAATTTCACTTTTCATTCCTCAGAGAGCCAGGCATGGCTCAGAAAATGTCAGTTGAATTAAACTGGAGAACTTCTTGAAAGGGACGATGGCAGGAGTTAGGGGGAGATGGTGGGATCCCCTCTCTGGAGACAGTTCTTTAAGGAGTGGATTTTCAGCAAAACCACCAGCCACTCAAGTGTACAATATTCTCCTCGAGGGTCCAGAAGTTTTCAATTCAGTCAGCTTTCTAATAGGCTTGGGTCCTGTCAGGCCTCATCTCTTTTTGCACATGATAAAAATTGGCTGAAAGAAGCAGAAAAGGGCTGGAAGGTAGAATGGGGAGGACTAGTCTCATGATGAACGGTTGCTCTGACCAAGGAGGTCCCCTAGCCCGGCTGGCAGCCTGCCAGGGAGATGTGCACACTGCCGCTGTGTACCCAGAATGGCGTTATCAGCTCCATCAGCACTCCTTATCAGCAGCGCCTGCTCCCTGAGGTTCCTCCGAAGATAGTGCCCTCCACTTGCTCCCCATATGCTGAGCACATGACTGAGCCGCGCCCGACTCACGGAGACCCCAGCTCTCAGCAGCCCTGCAGAGACCCAGACAGTGAGTGGCCTTTGGATGTTTTGTCAGTGGGTCGGCCCCATTTGTCCTCAACTCGCCTCAGACCATAGAAATTCCAGTCCCAGAGATCACCACAGTAGTTACTCAATACTTTCTAGAAGGTTCACCTCTTCTGTGAGGCCCCTACCTGTGGCTCAGCAGTCCTGACAGAGCAGAACACACATTCCGCCCCTAACGCCGCCTAGCACAGGCTTCCTTTGCACCCACCCACAGCCACCTCCGCATTTCCTGCTCTCTAGGCTGGCTGTGGCAGGAGACGGTCACTTGGACCAGCAGAAATGATGAGGTCAAGGGCAATTGGAGTCAGCTTGAGCTGGGTGGGAGCCCATTGGGGGCATGGGGATGTGACTCCAGCTCACACCTCCTGGATGATGATCTAATCATTTCCAGCACGGAATGCCGTCAACCTTTGCTACAGACTCATTAGCTATGAGTTTATTTTCCCTGTCCTCAACCTACCCCTTCCATGTCAATACAGACTTTCTGATGGGAAATTCAGGGAGGTGTTTTCAAGTTTCCTTCCCACTGGCTCTTATCTTTGAAGATGCATGAATCCATCCCCTAATTCATTCCCCTGCTCCTTTCAGAGTCCTAGGTGACCCAAGCATGAGGTTCTTGGTCTCTCTATTGTTTGCAGGTGATATATATCACTTTGGAAATCTGCCTATCTCAGAACCCATATTGTCAGTCCAAAGAAGCAGGGGTACCCCCAATGGGCAGAGGGCTCCTGAGAGTAACTGCACCGTGGCCCTTTGTCCAGGGAAGGGAAAACAGCTGCCCTCTGTAAATGCACACACGCATACAGAAATATGTGTCTGAGCTCTCTTCCACACTCAGAGTTCAAGATGATATATATGTGGGCCAGGAGCAGTGGCTCACACCTGTAATCCTAGCACTCTGGGAGGCCAAGGCAGGCAGATTGTTCGAGGTCAGGAGTTCGAAACCAACCTGAGCAAGAGTGAGACTCCCTCTCTACTATAAATAGAAAAATTAATTGGCCAACTAATATATATAGAAAAAATTAGCCGGGCATGGTGACGCATGCCTGTAGTCCCAGCTACTTGGGAGGCTGAGGCAGGAGGATCACTTGAGCCCAGGAGGTTGAGGTTGCTGTGAGCTGACGCCACGGCACTCACTCTAGCCTGGGCAACAAAGCGAGACTCTGTCTCAAAAAAAAAAAAAGATGATATATATGTGAAAAAAAGCTCAATTTGTGCATATATATATGAATATATATGAAAGAAAACTCAAGAAACAAATACTCTTTCTCAAAAATAACTAAAACTTTCAAACTTTTTCTCCAGAGTCCCCAGTTATCTGTTTGCCAGTGTTCTTATTCAGAACCACACATTTATCATACAGTTGTTGCATGAACATATATTCATTCTGTTGCTTTAACTTATGAGTTAAAGCCCCAAAGGTTCTAACTTTAAGGTTATTAAACAAATTAATTACTGCATTCAAAAATGATTACTTTCTAGACAGGTGTGGTGGCATGTGCCTATAATCCCAGCTACTTAGGAGGCTGAGGCAGGATGATAGCTTGAGCCCTGGAGTTCAAGACCAGCTTGGGTAACATAGTGAGACCCTGTCTCAAAAAAATAAGCAAGCAAACAAACAAAATTATTACCTTCTGGCCCCAAGAGATATGGAGCCAGTACTGGAAAGAGGATTGATCTCCCAACCCAGAGACAGATCATAGATTCTAATATAGCTAAGGAAGGACCATCAAGATGTCAGTCCCCAGTACAAAATAGAACTTACCATACTTTAAAATTAATAACTTAAAACTTGAACAGCTAGAGCACCAAGACTTTGCTCTGTCCCCAAATAAGTGCAATTGCACACTTAAGAAATCAGACACCTTTGCAAGAATTGTGGTGGATTTAGACTCTGTCCTGTGTCTCCAACCTGGTTTCGGGGACCAGGAGGGCAGCCCCTGGCACTGTCAAGCAGCATGCCAAAGTTAATAATTGGCCCTGCTGAGTACATGGCCGATCAGGCTGTTTTTGTGTGCCTGTTTTTCTATTTTACGTAAATTACCCTGAACACGTTTGCATCAACCTACTGGTGATGCACCTTTGATCAATAAATTTTAGACAAATGTAGTTTTTGAGTCCAAAGATCAGGGCTGGGTTGACCTGCAGACTGGATACAGGGTGTATAAAACAGGGGCAAGGCACAGGCTGATAGCAGAGCAATCACCACCAGGACTGAAATAAGTGCAAGGGCTCTGCCGACGACGACGGCTTCCTGAGGTGCCAGGGAAATGAGGATGGAGGAGGGAATGAACGCTCTCCATGACTTTGGGATCCAGTCAACGCGCTACCTGCAGGTGAATTACCAAGACTCCCAGGACTGGTTCATCTTGGTGTCTGTGATCGCAGACCTCAGGAATGCCTTCTATGTCCTCTTCCCCATCTGGTTCCATCTTCGAGAAGCCGTGGGCATCAAACTCCTCTGGGTAGCTGTGATTGGAGACTGGCTCAACCTTGTCTTTAAGTGGTAAGAACCCTCCAGGGAGGCAATCCGCAGGAAAAGTGACTGGCATTCCCTCTGGAAATGTCTGTCCATCAGAAGCTGCTTCCCCAGTGCCACTCGCGCTACTCGTGAAGCCACCGTCAAGCCAAAGTCAAGCCACCACTTGACTTTGGATCATCTGCATAAAGAGGGAGGGCAGAGAAAACCTGTCAGTGAGTTGAAAATACAGGAAAGCCTATTTCATATGGCTTGAAGGGGTGGACAGACGGTTGGATTTAGTGAAAAGTCTGAATTACAGGCTTTGAGCAAGGGGACAGTTTTATTACTTTGAAGCAGAATGAGAACGTAAGGATAGGTGCATGAAAGAAGAAAGAGGATGTATGAAGAAAGGAAATATAGATGATTCAAACACCTGCTGTGTGGGATAATGAAAAGTAACAAGGCTCCAGCCCTTGTTCTGCCACCTACCAACTACCTGTCCTTGGCAAGTCGTATCAACTCTCTGAGTTTCTGTTTTATGATCTATGATAATCATAGTTAACATTTATTGAACACTTAGTGTATGCCAGGCCATGTGCTAATTGCTTTCTTATGGGGAATTTACTACTATGTCACAGATAAAGAGACCAAAGCACTGAGTTAAATTAGACCAACATCGTTAGTAAACAGCAGAGTCAGGATTGAAGCCCAGGCAAGCTGGCGTCAGCGGCAATGCTCTTAAGAACTGTTATATCCAGTGCTGATTAACTGACTCTCTGGGTGGGGAGGAGGAACCTGAGTTTAGCACTTGCCAATTTCCGTTGTGTAAATATTCCCATTATGGCCACTTCCAAGATATAGATGGTTCTGGCTTGCAAAATTCCTGAGTTTTTAACAATTGAATCTTGTTAGCCACCTGACTCTAGCACGCTACTGGCTTGGCCTCTATTTCATCATCTAAAAACTGAAGGTGAAAAGCTGCCCTCTAAGACTTACCATCCCTAAAACTATCTATGTCTACCATCAGGCAATTCTTAAGATCTCTTCCAGCTCTAATTTCCTTTGGTCATAACAATAAATTTTTTTTTTTTTTTTGAGACAGTCTCGCTTGTTGCCCAGGCTAGAGTGAGTGCCGTGACATCAGCCTAGCTCACAGCAACCTCAAACTCCTGGGCTCAAGCAATCCTTCTGCCTCAGCCTCAAAAGTAGCTGGGACTACAGGCATGCGCCACCATGCCCGGCTAATTTTATATATATATATTAGTTGGCCAATTAATTTCTTTCTATTTATAGTAGAGATGGGGTCTCCCTCTTGCTCAGGCTGGTTTCGAACTCCTGACCTCGAGCAATCCGCATGCCTCGGCCTCCCAGAGTGCTAGGATTACAGGCGTGAGCCACCATGCCCGGCCTTTTTTTTTTTTGAGACAGGGTCTCACTTTGTTGCCCAGGCTACAGTGAGTGCCATGGCGTCAGCCTAGCTCACAGCAACCTCAACCTCCTGGGCTCAAGCAATCCTGCTGCCTCAGCCTCCCGAGTAGCTGGGACTACAGGCATGTGCCACCATGCCTGGCTGATTTTTTCTACATATATTAGTTGGCCAATTAGTTTCTTTCTATTTATAGTAGAGACAGGGTCTCGCTCTTGCTCAGGTTGGTTTTGAACTCCTGACCTTGAGCAATCCGTCTGCCTCGGCCTCCCAGAGTGAATAAAAGTATTTTAGACTAGGGGAAAAATTGTTGTTAGTTTCTGGAGCCCAAGGCAGACTGATGAGATGCCTGAAACTTCTCTTTAACAAGCTACTAAATTTTATCTGTAATGTCCCCTTCAGCAGCATGCCCCTAAAAAATATAAATAAAGGGTTATTCCAAACATCTGATCTCGATTAAAAAACCATGGATTCTCTCTGGGTTGGTGGATGTCAGAGGTAGTGGCTATCCGTCATTTCTGTGAGAAATCACTCTTCCACCAGCACAGGGAAAAAGAGTCATCCTGACTGACATTTTGTTACTGAAAGCTTGGCACTTGTACCCGAGGCCACATCAGAAGAACAGGACAAGTGGCTGAGGAAAAGGAAAGAGAAGTTTATTAATTTGCTGGCAAATGAGGAAAACGACAGACTCCTGTCTTTAAGTTCCAATTTTCCTAACTATAGGCAGAAATAAAAGGGAGGGTTCTCAGCTTTAGGCTATTGTTGTTAAACTATAGCTGATGACACTCCCCTGCCCCTAACAACCACTGGTGTGAGGGAAGGATATAGATTTTAGTTCCCAAAAAGATCGGAGGAAATTTTAAAGAGACAGAAGGCCGGGCACGTGGCTCATGCCTGTAATCCTAGCACTCTGGGAGGCCGAGGAGGGTGGATCGCTCAAGGTCAGGAGTTCAAAATCAGCCTGAGCAAGAGCGAGACCCCGTCTCTACTATAAATAGAAAAAAATTAATTGGCCAACTAATATATATAGAAAAAATTACCCGGGCATGGTGGCGCATGCCTGTAGTCCCAGCTACTCGGGAGGCTGAGGCAGCAGGATTCCTTGAGCCCAGGAGTTTGAGGTTGCTGTGAACTAGGCTGACGCCACGGCACTCACTCTAGCCTGGGCAACAAAGTGAGACTCTGTCTCAAAAAAAATAAGTAAATAAACAGGCAGAAAACATTTCTACCCTTTTTCAGGCAGTTCTCTCTATTACAATTTGACACCTGTTTCACAGTGAAAACATTCCTAGTCCTTTCAAAGGGGAAATGGTTTGTCTGAGATGGTCTGTTTCAAAGCAGGGAGGATACAGGGCAAGCATCTAAAGCTGTCTACATCCTCACAGACAGCAATTCTTGTGGGGACAGAGACCACGTCTCCTGCAAAGCTTGTCATTGGGGGGCTGAGGTGTCTTCTCTGATGTTAGAGAAAATCCAAGACTCACTGAGGCCCGAATAAAGAGAAGAGGGAACCTGTAGTATATGCAAATCCAAGTTGCAAACCGTAGTTCCATGTGCATTCTTCCAGGACAAATGCTTCTTGGGGTTTAAAAAAATGTCACTGGGTGCTGTGGCTCAGGCCTGTAATCCTAACACTTGGGAGGCTGAGGCTGGAGGATTGCTTGAGGTCAGGAGTTGGAGACCAGTCTGAGCAAGAGCAAGTTCCCATCTCTACATAAAACAGAAAAAAATTAGCTGGGTGTGGTGGCATGTGCCTGTAGTCCCAGCTACTCGGGAGGCTGAGGCAGGAGGATCGCTTGAGCCCAGGAGTTTGAGGTTGCAGTGAGCTATGATGACGCCTGGGCAATAGAGTGAGACCCTGTCTCAAACAAACAAACAAAAAGGTCACATTGCTGCCATTAATATGGATTTTACAATCTTGGGTTTATTTATTTATTTATGTTTGAATAGGTGATACATTCCAATGGTTCAAAATGCAAACATTTTATACGGATGTGTCATAAAAAGTCTCCCTCCCATGCTTCTCCCTGGTTACCCAGTTCTCCTTCCTGGAGGCAACATGTGGGTCTTCTCTTCAAACTACTCTCTCTTCTCCAAGGTGTGGGGTTCAGGCAAAAGCATCCATTCAGTAACTCCAGACACTGGTTCTGTTTTTCCACAGGATTCTCTTTGGACAGCGCCCATACTGGTGGGTCTTGGACACCGACTACTACAGCAATACTTCCGTGCCGCTGATAAAGCAGTTCCCTGTCACCTGTGAGACCGGACCAGGTAAGAGTCCAGAGCTGGGGATGGCTCTTCAGAGTTGCCCTGAGCTGGGTCAAGACAGGCCTTTATGCCCCAATATAAACCAGTTACTGGGTGCAGGCTGCCCCTAGCGAGAGTGTAAACTTGAAGGTGGATTTCTCCAGGCTAGGGCAATGCTCGAAGAAGGCCGAGAGCGGAGGCCCATTGGCCGTCACTCTCTCAACAGCAGCAAATAAGTTCTCCCATTCAGGAGGTGCTCTGGGTGGCACATCTCCTGACCCTCTGTCTCCCAGGGCAGAGGAATCGGGAATGGGAACAGGTTGCAATATTAAATAAAGTGGTCAGAGGGGGACTCACTGGGAAGGTGAGCTCTGAGTCAAGACTCGAAGGATGTGAGGGAGTCAGCCAGGAAGTTTCTGGCAGAAGAGCTGTCTGGCCAGAGAGGATTGCCATGCAAAGGCCTGGGGTGGGAGCATGCCTGGCACGTTTACAGAACAATGAGGCCACGTGGCCGGAGAACAGTGAGCAAAAAGAGAGTAGAACAGAAGTGATGGAGGGCAGGTCAGTTTGCAACTGTGCACCCATTATGTTCATTCTTTGTGTAATCTCCAGACTGTGTATAGCTACAAGAGCAGGAACCTTCTCTGGTTTTGCTCACCATTGTATTCCCAGAGCCTTGCACAATGCTTGGCACATAATAGGACCTCAATAGATATTTGTTAAATAAACAAGTTATGGATAAGTGAGTGGATGGTAGGATGAATGGGTGGATGGATGGGTGGGTGGGTGGATGGATAGGTGGATGGATGGATGGATGGATGGATGGATGGATGGATGGATGGATGGATGGATGGACAGATGGCTGGGTGGCTGAGGGGATGATACCCCCAGCAGTCTCCCAGATGAACACCTTTTCACCTTTAGTCCATTCATCTCTTCCCTGACCTTTAGGGAGTCCCTCCGGCCATGCCATGGGTTCAGCAGGTGTCTACTATGTGATGGTCACGTCCACCCTCTCTATCTTTCGGGGAAAGAAAAAGCCGACTTACAGATTTCGGTAAGAACTCACGACTGGGGTGGGTGGTGAGGGCAGGAGGTGGCTGTGTCTGCAGCTGACACACCACTCGCTCTTCCTCACACTCTCAGCTCATTCCCACAGCTTGGATTGGCACTGATTAGAGTTGTGGCACTGAGGGTGAACACCAGAGTCACAGGATATGGGGCTAGAAGGGACCCATGAGTGCAACCCCTTGTTTCACAGATAAAGAAACCAGGAGGCCTAACACCATAAACGGGCATCTAAATATCAGCTAGTGAGGTGGTGGCAGGGCTTAAATTAAAACCCATTTCTGTACCAATCATGGAGTCACCCCGTCCAGGTTAAAATGACCAGAGAAACATAGGACAGTCCTGCTACAGGGAATTTTGGGTGTGTAGCCAATAGGGAGGTTACAGTTGCTGTATGCAAGGGTTTGCCACTTGCTACAGACATTTTTGAGCTTTTGAGTGGGGGCTTCAATTTACAAAAATTCCACTGATGGCACCTAAGTTTGCCAGCATTCCCACTGGAGCTGCTTTCCTCTCGGGAGGATTGCACCTAGCTTGTCATGGTTGCCTCTTCCATTGCAGGTGTTTGAACATCATTTTGTGGTTGGGATTCTGGGCTGTGCAGCTGAACGTCTGTCTGTCGAGAATCTACCTTGCTGCTCACTTTCCCCATCAGGTCGTTGCTGGAGTCCTGTCAGGTATCTATGCTCCGACCCCCTCCTTCCCCCCCACCCCATTTCTCCCTAATCGAAACAAAATCCCAGTATTCTGGCCATGTTCTGTGTGTGAGCAATGCTGTTAGCCTTTCAGTGGGTTGAAAGTCAAGGGTGGATGATTCGAAATGATTGATTTCTATAGGAGTGCATGGATCTACACAACTAAATATGTAGAAAAGCTATATTACATCAGATTAACTCACCAAATTGAATTAGCTTAAAATCTCAGCTTTTAGGCCAGGTGCGGTGGCTCATGCCTGTAATCCTAGCTCTCTGGGAGGCTGAGGCAGGTGGATTACTTGAGGTCAGGAGTTCAAGACCAGCCTGAGCAAAAGTGACACCCATCTCTATTAAAAATAGAAAAATCATACTCTGGTTTCTCTTCAGACTAAAGATTTCCGTGGAGAGGAACAATTCTGAGTTTTATACCAATTTTTTGAGGTCTTGCTTTAGCAAGACTCCAATTTAAAAAAAAAAAAAAAATAGAAAAATCAGCTAGTCATGGTGGCATGCGTATGTAGTCCTGGCTACTTGGGAGGTTGAGGCAGGAGGATCACTTGAGCCCAGAAGTGTGAGGTTGCTGTGAGCTAGGCTGATGCCAGGGCACTCTAGCCTGGGCAACAGAGCAAGATTCTGTCTCAAAAAAAAAGGAATAACTGTCTTCAAATGTGTGACTAAAGGATTACATTCACAATTTACTAACTTCTGTGGAAAGAACTGAGACCAATAGATGGTATTAGAGGAGGATGGATTTCAGCTCAGCATGAGGAAGAACTATTTAGCATTCAAATCCATTCAAAGATGAAATGGGCTGTTCTAGTGGGAGTGAGCTCTCCACACCTGGGGGTATTCAAGTAGAGACAGGAGGACCCCTGACAGGAAACTTGCATACAGTGGGAGGATGTATGTGACATGACACTGCCATCTGAAAGAGTAGGCTGAGAACAGGCTGGAATAACCAGGTGACCCTCCAATCTGGTGTCTCGTGATTGAATTCTACAATGGCAGACAGATGGCATGTCACCCACTGCTGCAAATCCACCTCTGCTGAAGGTCCAGAATCTTCCCTGTCTCTCACAGTCATTCTTTCTTCCGCCCAGGCATTGCCGTGGCTGAGACTTTCCGCCACATCCAGGGCATCTACAACGCCAGCCTCAAGAAATATTTTTTCATCACCTTCTTCCTGTTCAGCTTTGCCATTGGCTTTTACCTGCTGCTAAAGGGGCTGGGTGTAGACCTCCTGTGGACTCTGGAAAAGGCCAAGAGGTGGTGCGAGCGGCCAGAATGGATCCACATTGACACCACTCCCTTTGCCAGCCTCCTCAAGAACCTGGGGACCCTCTTTGGCCTGGGGCTGGCGCTCAACTCTAGCATGTACCGGGAGAGCTGCAAGGGCAAACTCAGCAAGTGGCTCCCATTCCGCCTCAGCTGCATCGTGGTCTCCCTCGTCCTCCTGCACCTCTTTGACTCTTTAAAACCCCCGTCCCAAATCGAGCTGATCTTCTACGTCCTGTCCTTCTGCAAGAGTGCGGCAGTGCCCCTGGCATCCGTCAGTGTCATCCCCTACTGCCTCTCCCGGGTCCTGGGCCAGCCACACAAGAAGTCTTTGTAAGGGAAGTGGAGTCTTCACTATTTGAAGTCCATGACTCTGCCGGGGTTGAGGGGGACCAGGTCTTCTGCCAGCCCATTTTGAGGCCAGAGGTACTAACGTCAGCTCAGGAGACCCCCGTTCTACAATCCTAATCACATGGGGTGATGTTTTTGAAAAGCCAACGCACTATTTGAGAAAGCCTTGACTGTTAGAAGTGGGGTCATTCTGGATTTTTCCCTGAAGAGTTACTTGTTCTTCTGCCAGGTATACCAAACAAAGACTTCCAGGTAGGGCCAGCTCACAAGCTCAGGCCAGAGATCCCAAATGAGAATTTCCTACTTGTGCTCATCGTTACCAAGAAAAGGAGAGAGAAGCAGTGGATTTGATAGGGAAAGAAGGATGGTTGAAGGTGGAGTTTTTACTATGTTGTATATGATGCAGACTATGTGCCAAGCAATGTCTAAACAGCTTCAATTATATGCTAAGGCACTCTCAATCATGGGGGACCAACCTAAAGTATAATTAATAAGTGGTTAATGGGGTAATTCTGCATCTCATATTTTTCTACTATACATGCATGTGTATAATACATTCATCATTGTGTTTACTTGGATTTCTGAATGGCTGCAGTGACCTACACATAGTACCAGGTCAGACTATTCAGGCATAGTGGACTTCTCCTCTATCACATTACATCTTCCTCCTTATAAGCCCAGCTCTGCTTTCTCTGCTTTCCCCAGAATTTTCCACTGGCTCCATATCTGCCTTGCTAGATTTTCAGATGGCTAACAGGCAACCCTGTGGGGATGCTTTTTGTATGTTGCAGTTAAACTTCGAAATCTTGGACAAAATAGCAAGGCAAGGGCCAGGTTTCCTCTCTCCAGAAGGTCACTCCAATGTTACTTTTGATTCCTGGAGGGTAAATATGACTCCTTTCTCTATCCCAAGCCAACCCAGGCACATTCTTAGAGGAAAAGCCAATTCCTCCTTGCCTATTCTCCAATCTCAGCTGATTTGCAGAATATGTCCTTAAAAAAAAAAAAGCTGAAGACTATTTATTTGAAAGTCCTGTGTTTCCTACTAATTATATAGTACACCATATATTATCATTCACATCAACCATCCTGCTCATAACATCTTTGAAAAGAAAAATATATATGTGCAGTATTTTATTAAAACATTTTATTTAAGAATGAAGTCTTGTTGATTACTATATTTTAGATGCAGTGTGATCTGACGGTTCTAATTCTGGCCCAGCTAAATTTCTAGCTCTTTCTCTGTTTCCTTAAACAAATAATTTGGTATTTGGTTTCTCTGTGCCTGCTTTTTTTTTTTTTTTTTTTTTGAGACAGGGTTTTGCTCTGTTTTCCAAGCTGGAGTGCAGTGGTGTCATCATAGCTCACTGCAGCCTCAAACTCCTGGGCTCAAGCAATCCTTCCTACCTCAGCCTCTTGAGTAGCTGGGACTACAGACATGAGCCACCACGCCCAGCTAATATTTCTATTTTTTGTAGAGATGGGGTCTTGCTCTTGCTCAGGCTGGTCTTGAACTTCTGGCCTCAAACAATCCTCCCAAAGTGGTAGGCATGAGCCACTGAGGCCAGCCCCTGCATTCTCCCTTTAGAGAAGGAAAATGCTGTGTCTCAAGTTCACCTGAACTTCTATAAGGCATAGGGAGACTTTTATGAGCACGGGTAGAGTTGAGCATATCAACATAGGCACAGTGTCAGCACAGAATCAGAAAGACCCAGAGTTGGCCAAGACTGAACATGAATTACCAGAGCACAGGTCAGCATAAATTGCTCTGTAGTCTCAAATTGCAAGTTGAGGGCAGACAGGCAGGGTCATTACCAAACTAAGCGATTGTGGAATGCAAACTGTAGTGGCAGAACTGGGTGGATTCTGGAACCGACCTTTTGGGTTATAGTTAAAGAAAGTCTAAACAGGGAAAATCAGAGCACCAAGGCATGCCCAAGGAAGCTATTGCAGGCTTCTCTGCTAAGTGATTTATTTCATCCTGAGTGCAGGGTCCCTCCTCTAAAGGCCTCAACTCCCCACCATAACCCTGGACGTCCTGGGGGTGAGATCTGCACATTCACTCCAGCTCTTTGGAACGTGTATGTTTAGGGAAGGTTGAGTCATCCTACTGGATTTGGGTTCTTGGAGGGGGAAGGACTAGGCCCCTCACAGACTCTAAGAGCCCTACCCAGAGAGAAAGGAAATGGCCTTGATCTGTCTGAACCCCGCTGCTTAGGCATGGCCCCATCCTTGAAGATCCACTTGCTCTCAGGGACCAAGTCCAGGATCCTTGCCAGAGGAGTCCCGCAGAAAGTAAATAGAGCCCCCCCCACCACCACCACCTGTCAGTTTACAAGGTTGATAAGGACACAGAAGAACAGATAAAGTTTATTGAGCGCTTACTATACACCAGACTCTGTTCTATGCACCTTATTTACACAATTAGCTCAATTCTCCCAACATCTCTGTGAGATGGTTACTATCATTTCTCTTCATATCATATATGAATAGGCATTGAGGGGTCAGGCACCTGGTCTAGAATGCGGGGGCCAGTTTAAGAATCAGGCAGTCTGACCCCAGAGGCCCTGCTCTACCCCATCTCACCCCGGGCCCCACAGACACTGGCAAGACTGCCAGCTGGTTCAAACCACCCTTCAAGTACCAGGTAGAACTCTCCATTCAGACCAGAGAGGATTTGATTTATTTTCACTTAAAGCCATTATAAAATTTAGAGCAATCCTCTCAATAAGATAGCACTAGTTTCTAAGTATATTTCAACAGTAATTTCATAAAATAACTATTAGAACAGGCATCACCATGCTAGTTTGACATCAGTGTCTAGAGCAACCTTAGAACTTTGTTGTTTTCTTTCAAGAAAGAGTTTAAAAGTCATGTTTAGACTATCTGAGTCAGAGAGTAAGTAACTTGATATTTCTAGAATTGAAACAGAGTGAGAAGATAGAATTACCACAGAGAACTTTTGGTATAGATCCATATACAAGGATAGAAAGAAAGAGACACTGTGGAGGATGGTTTAGATCAGAAATTCCACAAATATGGAGTTGATACCTTTCATGGGGACAGGCTAAATCCAGAATTGGACACTCCTAAAGGCTTAGAATTTGCAATGGGTAAAGCAGATCAGAGTGTCAGCTCATGATCGATTTGTAATATGGCCTATTTATTAGACAGAACATTTGGATCACTGATCTGTTCCCCAAGTTACAGATTTATGTCTGCTTTAGAAATGGCTTGTAGATCCTCAGGCTGGAAGCAAGTGTAAGTGCCCAATGACAGTTTTAAAGCAAGGTTCATGTCATAGTATAATTCGATAGAGTATGCTAACAGCCTATCCATTTTCAGGTGGTAAGTTTGAGGATGATACACACACAGACACACACGCACACATACTATGCAATTGTATTATTGCCCAAGGAAAAGAGACCCATTAAGAAAGTCCAACTTCTGCTGCCTAGGCCAATGCAGCACCGCACACAGCCAAAGGCTCGGAGTTTTTTCTTCTGTTTGTTAACAAAATTGTAACAGCTTAACAGCTTTAAAAAAAATTATAACAGCTTGATAGAAATACAATTCACATACCATATAATTCACTCATTTAAAGTGTACTATTCAGGCCAGGCACGGTGGCTCATGCTGTAATCCTAGCACTCTGGGAGGCCCAGGCGGGTGAATTGCTCGAGGTCAGGAGTTTGAAACCAGCCTGAGCAAGAGCGAGACCCCATCTCTACTAGAAATAGAAAGAAATTAATTGACCAACTAATATATATATAGAAAAAATTAGCCGGGCATGGTGGCGCATGCCTGTAGTCCCAGCTACTCGGGAGGCTGAGGCAGGAGGATTAGGATGATGCTTTGAGCTCAAGGAGGTTGAGGTTGCCGTGAGCAGGATTAGACGCCATGGCACTCTAGCCTGGCAACAAAGTGAGACTCTGTCTCAGAAAATAAATAAATAAGTAAGAGGTATATTCAATGGTTTGTAGTATATTCACAGAGTTGTATAACTATCACCAGGAATCAATTTTAGAACATTTTTTTGTTGCTCCGTAAAGAAACCCCATCTGGCAGGCTGTGGGGCTCAACCACTTGCAATCCTAGCACCTGGATGCCCAGGTGGTGTGGATTGCCAAGGTCAGGTGAGTTCGAAACCAACCTGAAGCAACGAGCAGACCCTATTTCGCAATAGACAAGAAATTTCTGTGCAAAGAAAGAAAAGATTGCCCAACTAATATATATAGAAAAAATATTAGCCGGCATGGTGGTGCATGCTGTACGTCCCACTACTTGGAGCTGAGTAGAAGGATCGCTTGAGCCCCAGAGTTTGAGTGCTGTGAGCTATGGCTGATGCCACGGCCCACCCAATCTCTAGCCCTGGTACAATAAAGTCAAACTCTGTCTCAAAAAAAAAAAAAGAAAAGAAAGAAAGAAACCCATGACTATTAGAAATCACTCTAATTTCACGCCAACCCACTCAGCCCCAGACAACCACTAATCTGTTTTCTATCTCATAGATTTGCCTATTGTGGGCATTTCATATGGCTGGAATCATATATGACATGGTCTTTGTGCTGCTTCTTTTTTTTTTTTTTTTTTTTTGAGACAAAGTCAACTTCTTGCCCAGGCAGAGCTGAGTCCCGTGGCGGTCAGCCTGGCGCACAGCAACCTCAATCTCATGGCTCCAGCGATCCTCTGCCATCAGCCTCCCTAGTACTGGATACAGCTGCCCAAGATGCCGCTCAATTTTTTTTTTGTATACTATAGTCTTTATTATCTAATTAAAATTTCTTTCCTAGTACTTTTGGTAGAGACGGGTCTTGCGGAGGCTGTTGCAACTCCTGACCTCCGAAAAGCCCGCCCGCTCGGCCGTCCCAGAGTGCTAGGATTACAGGCGATTCGACCACCGCGCCCTGGTCTTGTGTCGGCTTCCTCTGGCAACTGAGCAGCCGATTTTTCAAGTTATTCAGTGTTAACCAGTGTATTGGTATTGTTCTTTTTTAATTTTTATTTATTATTTTTATTATTTATTTTTGTTGAGAGCAGATCTCACCCTTTATTGCCCCAGGCTAGAGTGTAGGTGCCGTACCGTCAAGTCTAGCCAAAAAAAGCAACCTCAAACTCCTGGCTCCAAGCAATCCCTCCCCGGGGGGACCCTCCCCCTGCAATCAGCCTCCCGAGTAGCCGGAGCTACAGGCAGGCGCCACCATGCCCGGCTAATTTTTTGTATAATATACTGAGTTGGCAATTAATTTATTCTATTCTATAGTAGAGACCGGGTCTCACTCTTGCCAGGCTGGTTCGAACCCCTGACTCTCCGGAGGCAATCGCGCCGCCTGGCCCCAGAGAGCCTAGGATTAAGCCATGAGCCACCGT